AAAATCACATGTAAATGTATGCAATGTTACGCTACATTCGATAGTTTAGTCAGTTTTTCACGAATGAATCTAAACTTTTAACACACCAAATAACAGAACAACTGTTGATTCAACAGGCGAGAGACAGTCCGGCTCATAGCTTTTCCGCTTCAGTAGTATGGGGTCAATATCGCGTTGTTACGGATGAATCTAAACTTTTTCCATACTCAGGGAGTGGAATGGTGAGTATAGCTATCTTGAACYGGCTTTGATTTCTTTGAACTCGTCGAATTTATGCTAAAATCCATGAAAAACTGACTAAACTATCGAATGTAGCGTAACMTTGCATACATTTACATGTGATTTTGAAATATGATATGTCCGCCAATATGGCGGCCAACCAACAAGTGATCACGTGGGTGAAATCGATCTATAGTTTTAAAATCAACCTTTTTCCTTCTTTTGACTCTGTTGAACATGACAGTCGTTTATTTGTCACCTGGAGCAGGTTGTGCAAAGAGYTAATCAGGGCATCCGCTCCATAGATTCTGTATTTAATATTCCACTGGAGACGATTTATCCGCCCTTTGTAAAACCGAACCTAGATGGCTACAAGAGTGCTGTAATATCACACAAGTAATAAGAAAATTGATAACCCAAGCTGTTTTTATTTTTAGTCCTGCATTGTGTCTTAATCCTATAGATTGCGACTTACCAAAGTCAAGTGAAACTGAAGCGGAGGGTGCAGAGGTTGTTGTTGGCGTCGGTTTGATTTGTTGAGAAGTAGTTGCCATCGCTTGTTGAGTAGTAGTTGCCGTCAACCCTGCAGATGTTGTTGCCACAGTCATAGTTAGAGTTGCTGTCGGTGAGGCACTAGATGCTGTATTGTTTTGAGCTGCAATTATATATTAAAAACGTATATCAGACTGCATGGATATCATATATTGGCAAGGTGTTATAGGAATCTATCATTGGATTTTTCTTTGCAACTCAGACTTGCCAACAAGGCCAATCGCCGCCCCTTATAAGGGGGTGCCCCCTCCTCTTTCCACTCCTTTCTTTCCACCCCTTTCTTTCCATCCCTTTCGAGTCGTGT